CCCCCCCCCCCCAACCCCCCACATTGGAAATGCAGGGGCACTTGAAACCACACCTGCGTCTTGGAACACCCTACCTGAAGGTGGTTTACAGATAATACTCTTAGATTAAAAGGCGCGGGTATGTCATGGGGGCAGAGTACACAATGTGTGTGGATGTTTTAAATTACAGAGAGGTGGCCCACCTCAAGGCAGGTCCCAGAAACTGACTCAGGGGTGAGGATTTGTATGCAAGTGATTCATTAAGGAAGGGAGAGGCAGTGAGGAGTGGGGGCTCAGGAGGGGAAGGGGAGGAGCCAAGCCTGGGAGGGGACACCAGAGTGTAAGCTATACCTAGAGCTGCCCCCCCTCAGGGCCCTGGGACAGGGCTTTCATGCTGTCAGTCGTTGATCAAGGCCTGGGGGAGAAGGGAGAGATAGTAAATTCCCACTCACATCTCACCCTCTATCTGTGCAGGCCACATGCTGTTCTAGGAGCCCAGGGCAGTGGCTGTTACAAGTAACAACACGTGGAACGGAAAGAGGAGAGGGTGGCAAGAGATGGTCAGCTTCCCAGCCCCTGGGCCCATTTCCTTCATCCCCAGGGTTCCTCTGGGGCAAGAAGAGTTTGAGAAGGTCTGCTTTGCCCGGCCCAGTGTCCAGCGCCTGCCAGAATGGGTTCGGGGCAGTTGATTCCACAGACCTGCACCAGATCCTGCTCTTGGCTGCCCTGGTCCCCTCCCCAGGCCAAGGAGATCACCTAGAGACCAGAACCCTGGATTCCGCTAGACCTTGAAGCAGCCTATCTAGGAAGGTTCTAGCCCCGCCCCAGCCCTAACACCCCTGCAGGGAAGAACCCTTACCTGGCAGCAGGAGAGCTTTGTCAGGCCCCAGATCTCCTGGCTTCAGACTCCAAAGCCTGTGTGGTCAAGGACAAGTGATCTCACCGTTCTGAGCCCAAATTCCCCATCTGGGAAATGGGTGTGGTAGGCTGAATAATGGCGCCTAAAGGTATTCCCATTCCTGGAACGTGGGAATGTTACCTTATAAGGCAAAGGGACTTTGCAGATGTGATCCAGGCGTTTCGCTGGGGAGGTTATCCGGGACTATTTGGGAGGCCCAACGTGATCACTTGGGTCTTTGAAAAAGGGAGGCCGGGGGAGGGAGGCTGGACACAGAACAGGAAAAGGTGTGCTGATGGAAACGGAGGTTGGATGGTGTGTTTTGAAGATGGAGGAAGGGACCATGAGCCCAGGAGTGCAGGTTGCCACTAGAAGCTGAAAAAGATAAGGAAACGGGTTCTCCTTCAGGCTCCAGAAGGAACCTGCCTGGCTGACACCTTGACTTGAACCAGTGAGACTGGCTTTGGACTTCTGACCTCTCTTTGTAAGAGAACAAATTAGTGTTGTTTTAAGCCAGGAACTGGTGGTAATTTGTTATAGCAGACACGGGAAGCCAATGCATGGGGATGCTGCTACTTGCCTGCGATGGAGGTTGGGATGCTGTGTGTGGACCAGGCTCAGAGTCAGCCCCAGGGAGATGATTGCAAGTCAGGGTGATGGTGAATGAAGAAAGAGGCCCTCTGATCTTATAAATGCCACCCCTTTCCCAGGCCCAGGGGACAGAGCCCCAGCAGCTGCAGCCCATGGTCCCAAGTTTATAATCTGAAAAAAGTAAGATGAGAATGAGTTTCTAGAACCGTTGCCTCTGAAATTGCTAGGACTGACTCTGGAGCCGTGGAATTTTAAACCTAAAAAATGCCTTTGCAAGTGGATTTAGAAAGGTCAAATTGCTTGCCCAAAGTTGCATCACTAGTGAGTGGTAGAAGACAAATTTAGACCTCTGCCTGCCTGGCATCAACAACATGAAGCCCCAGAACAAGCACATGTCATGTTGTCTTTTGAAAAGGATCATGGATGAAGGGATCATGAGTGAAGGCAGCTTTGAATATTGTAAGAGGGAGGGGCCAGAAGTCCACCTGGGACACATGTACCTGTGGCCCTAAGATTTTTACTCATGACACCAGAGCTGGAGGGGTGAGGTATGGCTAGAGGATCTCAGGGTGTGTTGCTAGAAGAAGACAGAAGATGAGTTTTTGGCTTGAGCTGGGGTCTGCCCAAGCAAGTGCCAAATTGGCCTTTAAATCCCCTGGAGCCCTCTCTGCTTGAGAGAAAGCGGGGCTGGGGGTGGAGGTGGGGAGAGGTGGGGAGCATGGAGTAGCCCAGTGTGGGGAGTACAGGACAAACAAGGCACAGCTCAGGGTGCACACCTTAGTGTCTAAAACCTGGCATCATAGTCCACCTCCACCACTTTCTGCCTGTGTAAGTGGGCAAGTCACTTAAACTGAGCCTCAGTTTCCTCATCTTTAAATGGGGAGCATAGGCGTTTGCCTCTCCCTCACCATGTCTTCCCACAAGACTTTCAGGATCAAGAGGTTCCTGGCCAAGAAACAAAAGCAGAATCGGCCTATTCCCCAATGGATTAGGATGAAAACTGGTAATAAAATCAGGTACAACTCGAAGAGGAGACATTGGAGAAGAACCAAACTGGGCCTATGAGAAATCACACATGCGAGATGACTCACATATTTATGCTGTATCCAGGTTGCCTACACCCTTAAATGATTGAAAAGATGCTACTGTCTGGACAGTTGGGGCATTTTAATTGGAAGATTAATGAACTTGTGATTTTGCTCTGTTGATTTTTTCCTCCTGGAATAGAAGGTTGATTCAGTAATAAATGTGAGATCTTTTAAAAAAAAAAAATGGGGAGCATAATACTAACCTAACTTGTGAATTATTGTGAGGGTTTGCTAAAATTTTTCCCTGGGACAGAGAAGGCCTTTAGTGAATAGAAGCTGCTGTTGTGATTACCATTAGAGATGTGTACAGGGAGCCACTGGCAACCTCGGGGACTGATAACTGGGCTGCAACATAGCTGGATGCAAGTCCTTGGGAAAGTCACTTCCTGTCTCCAGGCCTCTTCATCTCCCCTGTGAAGTACGATTCTTCTAGGAACTCTTTAAATTAGGTCCATTGTTTTATTTCTTACTAGAGGCCCGATGCATGAAATTTATGCAAGAGTAGGCCTTCCTTCCCCGGCTGCAGGCACCAGCTTCCCTCCAGCACCTGGGACTGGGCATCCCTCCCAGCCCCGCTTTGTCCGGTCTAATTAGCATATATTACGCTTTTATTATTATAGATAGTTCTAGTGCCATGTTATTTATTTACTTCCCTCAGCAACGCCGTGAGGTAAGAGCTACAAATCCCATTTATCTGAAGCGCAGTGGCAGCCAGTGGCAGAACTGGGGCAAGTGCCTAGGCCAGTCTGACACTGTACACAGCCATTCTTCCAGGTGCATTTCGTATTCACTGCAGGACCTTGGGCAGATTCTTGTTTCTCTCCAGGATTGGGTTTCCCCACTTGCTCCGGACTAGAATATACTCATGATAATACCAACGTACCTCATAGGAGAGGATGGGTCCATAGTAAGAGCTTACAACAGTGCCTGACACATAATAAGTGCTCAAGAAAAGTTTATTACAGTATTACTACTGCTGTTATGAAGCAGTTCGTTTCCACTCGGAAAGTTTTATTTCTTCCTCATTGCACCCTTGCACAAATGTCTTAACTCCGGGCTTCAATCTCGCGTCTGCAGCCCGACCGGTTACCGGAGGTACTAGTACATGCAACCTCCCAGATTTGAGATTTTTCCCGGTGCAGTGGAGTCTGAGTCCCTGAGGGCGGGCCGCAGGCTGCCGCCTCTCTGTGATTGGTGCAACTTCGAGACCCCGCCTCCTGGGGCCGCACCCCGCCCGTCAGAGGCCGGCCTCGGGGATTATGCAAAATATCTCCGCCCCGCCCCGCGCCCGGATTGGAGGCCTTTGTTTGCCGCTCAACTCCAGGAAACCACCCCGCGCAGCGGCGGCCAGCAGGTGAGAAGCGGGGAGGGGCTCGTGGTGGGTACGCGGCAGGTTCCGGCCCCTCGCTGGGTCTCAGTTTCTCTGTCGGGGGAATGGGGAGGGAGGGTGGGCAGCGCGATGGGCCTGAGTCCACGGGGACGGTGCTGCTCTCGGTCTCTCCCACGTGGAAACCACGCACACCCGTCTTGGAAGGAGACCGATCGCCGCTCTGGGAGTGGGAGGGAGTCCCGGATGGGCTATCCATCCCGAGTCCAAACCCGGCGGTCTCCACCGTCCGGCCTCAGTCTCCACCTCCGCACAATGGGGGCGTTGGCCTTTTCTCCCTGCCTGCGGCTGGCGCGGGTCCAAGGGAGGGGAGGGGTCCCCGGGGAATCTGGAGGTGGTCCTTGGCCCGGCCGAGGGCTGTGTTTGGGTTAGAGGTGTGGCCGTGTAGCTCTGGTTACGGACTTTCCCGTCCGGGGATTTGTGTGAGGTTCGCTCACCCGGCAACAACCGCGCACCCTGACAACTCGGAGCCGCGCGCCCTCCC